CTGTTTTAGTTTCGAAATTCCGAAATTTTACACTTATAAAATGATAAATTAATAAATTAATATTGAGAGGAAATCGCTTATTTAAACAGTTTTTTTTCCNTTAAACAGTTTTTTTCCTTTAGGTAAACATAAGCGAGATATGTTTTCTTTTTATAAAACATTACTTTTATATTTTCTTAAATATTTAAAGTAATAAATAAATAAATAAAAAACCACAGAATAGAGCGTTATTGAAAAATTGAGATGGTTTTTATTCTTCTATTTTTACTTTTTACGTCGTAAAATTTTTATAAACGGCAGAGACGAATAAAAATATTTCAATTTAAAACAAAACAAAACAAAGAATTTTTTAAAATCTTTTATTTTTATTGTAGAGAAGCGCATAAACAGGAAAACATTTAATTTTTTTAATTTAATTTTGAATAAAACTTAGATTTGTTGCGTGTAATATTATGCAGATAAAAAGAGAAAAATAAGCGAAGAAATTCAAATATTCGATTTTGAAACGCGACAGGAGTCTCATAAATTGCAAAGAACAAGCGGACTACTTCTCCCTCAAAGTTGCACAGTTTGTTTATCCGTGAAGAAATAAGTGTTTTCACAATACCCGATTCTTTCTTGGTATTTTTTTGTGGACCGAGAAGACTTTGTTGTTTTCTGTTTCTGCTTTTGCTGACAGAATCCTTTGTCACAACATTCCGTTTTCTCAGCATGTGGCATGTTTCTTTACCGATTTTTTCAGTCGAAAAATATTAGAAAGATTTTATTCTTTTCCTTTATATATATATATTTCTGTTTTTTCCACGTTTGATTTAATTATTTATCAATTTCTGAATCGAATTTATGTTATAAATATTATAGTAAACTGTAATTTTACAAGCACAAAGTTGATTTTTTTCGTTGTTTTTTCCTCTGAAAAGCGAGATAATTTTTGCAACTTTTGAGAGTGTTTCATAAAAATGTCAATTCTTTATCTGATTGCTGTCGTGTTTTAAAAACAAAGTGTGCAAAGTTGTCATTTTTTTTCTTCCTCCTTGCTTCTTGGTTGACTATAAAAACAAACATGACAGATTATGCCAGAACTGATGGTTCAATTAGCTTCTTTGACAAACACTTTATAAAATGCATACCTGATTAGAAAGTAAAAAGGTATTCTAGCCAGACACCTATCTTCTACCTCCTGTCACTGTTACAGATAAGTTTAAATAAATGATCCGGTATCATTGTTTGTTTAGTGATTTTTGCTTCTGGGTAGTGAACTGAGTTATAGAATGGTATTTGTGACAAGAACAAATGATCTGTCAACGATGGGGAGGTGAGACTATCAAGCGATCCTGTTTTTCTTGTCAAGAAGTTTGATTTTATGGTCGGGAAGGAGGCATTTTCCTCTTCTAAATTGAGATACTTTTGACGTTCGTCTCTCGACAAACATCGATGCTAAATTTCATTAGTCACGCGTTAAAAACATGATTTATTAAACTTTCTTATTTACCAAATATCTACGTTAACCATTAGTCACGTGACAAATCATGATAAGTCGACTAAAATTAGCCGAGTCGGCAAATTTGGGATTATATTATCGATAGTATAAACGACGGAGAAACTAGAGATGCAATAAATCACTCGATGACTGCGCTAAACTTTAGAACTACCCAAAGGATAACATTGTTATGTATATTAAACTCATTGTTTTTAGGCACGATTTTAATTTGATAGAACTTAATTAGCTAATTATAATTAAGTATTAGCTAATTAAATTCCAACAAATCACATTAGTGTCATAGCTCATTATGGAGTAATTGAATATTAAAAACATATTCAAATTTTACGACTTACTAATTATTTTGAAGTAATTATTGTACCTGAAGTTATAGTTAGAGAAAGCCACGTGTGACACTGAAAACGCTAGAGGAATTCTAAAGTTTGTTTGCCTGGGAGATTTAAATGTAATTAGCCGAACATTCAATCTTAGACCAACAAGTGTCTGGCACACTCTGGAGATTCGCAAATGCTCCATCAGGGATAAGTGATCATCATATTAATAATACAGTAGCAGAAGTGAAGTAATCTTCAGATTGATTTATACATAACTCAAGCTTTCCAATTTAATATAACATATGTACCAATAGCTTAGCTGAAAGGTAATCCCCTTTGCTTGTAAAAGTAATATCTGTTCCTAAGTGTAATAAATCTTGAAAAGCAGAAGGAAAGGCATTCTGTTTATTGATTTAGTGTAGAGTGTTTGTTCTGTCTCTTAAATTATAGTTTTTTTCCCGATATAGAAGTTACTTTCATAAATAAATACCTGTTTCTCTTTAGGGTTTTAAATCCAGATGAATTTTGAATGCCCCTGTAAAGATGGTTCTTCCGCAAGACTATGAGTAGTGCAGTGAAGTATCCGGACATTTGTTATTTCTTCAAACGGTTTTATTTATTTAAAAAAGCGTATTGTTAGATAAATGCAATGAAATTTATCAGATTATAAAATTTTAAATTGAAAAATATACCATTGAAGGGCAGTAAACGACGGCTAAGGTGTTTTTTCTGTGGGTTGTATCAGAAGGTGAAGATGTAAGGTAATATGTGGTACTTGGGTAAAAATATATAGAAGGAGAATTCTCCGGTAATCTCTTTGCTGACCGCTGTGTTTAGAAACGGAGATCGATGTCCAGAAAATCCTACCTCTAGGCGAGGTAATAAGATTTTCTTCCGTCGTAGACGCCTTCCTTTGCTCGTTGAATTGCAGAATGTAAAAGCGAAATAAATCGCCCAGAATAGCGAAAAAAGTGCAATTTATTTTAAGGGTCTTCATTTACATTTTCTTTATCAGTTTTTATTGATTTTTCTATCGTCTTTATTTTAAGAGACTCGCGGCGCTTCTAAAATAATGTCGATAAAATTTGATGATTAACAAAAAATTTGGCTTATTCCGTGCCGTACGCCAATTGTGTAAAGAAGCGAAAAGAGTTTGTCTAGTCTCGTTGCTGGCTTAATCAAACTAGAGTGGACATTATCATTCCCGTTAACACAGCGATAACGGAACAAAACAGCGTTAATAATCCCCTCTATCAGCCATGGGAGGTCGTGAAGAGGGAAAGCAACATTCCCAAACAATCAAGCGTCCGAATCAAAACAGAGATGAGCCCATTCCCCACCATTATTAGGACTAATGGAAGACCACCTGTCCTTTTTATGAGGTAGCAAGCAGAAGCCATAAAATGAATTGTTTCTTCAAAGACCAAGCAATCGTGACCAGCTTAGGATAGTTATCTAACTGACAACTGTTTCATTCACTGTCCCTCTATAGGGTCAACGTGGTAATGACTGTCCTGTGACTAAAGCCAGCCCTTGGCACTTAAGCAAAGATTGATGGAAGCTGGGATTTGCACAGTCGCCATTTTCCGTTTTCCTACCATCAAATATTTAGTATTCGCTAGGTGTAATGTCATAATGTAATGAGAATCTGTGGAATTTGTACGTGAAATATCGGATGCTGATTCAATGCAGATACTTGAAGGTATTTTCTCATTTGGTCTGGAATCCTTTTCTTCTGTGTTGCCTGTAATGAGATGTTAAACGCCATATACAACGGAATAGTTGAAACAGGAATTCTAGACCATTTTAAGATAGTCTAAGAATTCTATCATCGAATTCTCCAATTCTAATTGCTCCGATTTAATTGACGTGGATAAAATAATTATGCAGTTTGTAGAATGGATGAGTTATTCATTTAAGATTTTGATAAAAATTTTCCAGAAATATTCTAAGCTCGGTGGAATCGCGTTTTAGAGGAATTATTAGGAATTAATTACACAGAACTTAACAAAGCTTCTATGTTGAAATCAACAAAATCGAAAGCAAAATTTATCTTTATAAATCAGTTTCAATCTTGCATCGAGTATTATTAGCCTTACACGATTATTTTGGCATATATCAGACTGAATCATCTAAGAAGCTGAAACTTACAATGGCACACGACAGGGTGATAAGTATGCAAGTCTCGTTCTTCACAGGTCCCTTCAGATCGATGCCCAAGGCAGTAAGCGGGTCGCAGGGCCTTGAGGGGAAAGGCCAGTTAAATGGTTTTGTATTGATCTGTAGCAGTCACGCAGATCCGGTCAATAGCTATAAGTTTGCTAGATAAAGAAATACGGTTATTACTTAGATGCGTACAAGTGCAGGATATGATCAAGGTCGTCTTTTTTGCTTATGGGCGGTAACTATGTGGATAATACCTCCATCAGAAGATTTAGTGGGGAGAGAAGATTCAATGAGAGGAGCTGCCTTGTCTCTCTAAGTGATTGGAATGTAATTACATCAACTTTTATCTAAAGTGACATTACCTACCGCTTTGGGAGATACAGCACCATCCTAAACTATCTTCGGACCGTAGGATCCATGATACTTTCTTCCCAAAGCATAAATACTTATTAAGGAGGGAATTATTTGCCTTCTTTTATATAGCTTCTTATATAAGCAATTTTCCAACTTCAAACGAATTACATTATTGGAGTAATTTCCCTCATTCCTTGATTTTCCTTATGAGGGAATATTTCTCATTCCTGTATTTCTTGGTTGTTATGGTAACGTCTTTCATTTCGTGATTCCTTCATTAATGAGGAAACTCTCCTTATTCATTATTTTAGAAGCTGGCTTAAAAATGAAAAAAATCAAGGAATTCTTTTCATCGACTAAAGAATTTCCCTCTTTTAATCGTTAATAAGAGAATTATTTTTAGTGCTCTGAGAATGAAAGATATTTCCTCAATATTTTCTTGATAAATCATACGATTTATCTTTATGATTAAGTCTCTTTTGGTTAATAATATACTGATATATATTTATTTATAACATTTTGTAATCAGCAAGTTTTTGATTGGTTTTAATAAATATCAAATATTAATTTAATAAATAATTTAATGAAAATTTTAAAAAATGATAAATATTGTTCCAAGGTATTGCTATTAAACCAACTATTGAAATTTTATGATCAGGTGAAAGTAATGGTTAGAGTTTGTCCTGCTAAACCAGCTACAGATACTAGTTCGACATTTTTGAATATCGACAGCAGGAAGAAGCAAATAATCGTGTATGATCCTTCGTCTTGCGGCTTATCGACTCCAGCAGAAAGAAGAGTTGGAGTTTCTGCACCAAAGATATTTGCTTTCGATGCCATCTATTCTCCAGACGAGACTCAGGTATGTAAATCAATAAGATATACAACTGTAAATCCCTATAGTTTAACGCATAATGTAACATTTACAAGTAAATCTGGTAGTTAAGCCTCTTAGGTCTCCATCAAACTTTGTCAAAATGTTTATTAGATTTGGATACAACTATCCTGTGCTAGAAGAGATCAAACAAACGTCAATTTGAAAGAGTCTTTAATGTTTATGGACGTCAAATAATATTAATGAGATTATAAAGAAGTTGAGAACTATCTCTCTGAAGTCATTTGTAAGTTTGTTTACTGCCAAGAGAAATTATTCATGAACAGCTTGCCAATATAATAATTTAATAAAGATTAGATAATATAATGAATTATTAAAGAACGACGACTCTCCAAGAAAAGTAAAAGTGCTTTTTCTTGATATGAATTTAGAATATTTTGAGATATTCCTTCTGTGGTGTACGTAAACAGATGCAAAAGTATCCGCATCATTGCCTACTTATAGATAAAATTAAAAACACGAAAATGTTTACAGTTTAGTAAATAACATAAGAGATATTCATAGTTGGAAATATAGTCTCTCGCAGGAGTAAAATTATTTATTTTTTTGTAAAAATCATTAGAGCATAACATGACAGACAGCTAGTTGCAGAAACTATATCTACAGTAATAATTTTAGAAATAATGTAGAGAAGTGCCAGCACTAGTGATGTTGAAGTACTATACAACTTTTACTGACAAGTAAAAGCTATCGTGTGACCGAAACTCAAAAAGAAAGACAAAGAGGTCATTACTAATATAGTGTACTCGTGGGAGTTAAGATCCGAGATCTTTTTCACGTTTTGTTAGAGTTATTGCAACTCACAAAAAGAAATCGAATAGATTTCGACGTATTTTATAGAGTTTTGATGTTTTACATCATTTCCCCACCGATAAAGTCTAAAATTGATTTGTATTTAAAACCGATTTTATGCTTCTGACATTTTTCTTTTTATATTCTTTCTATACTTATAGACAGAAGTTTGTTCCAGTTCTCTTACAGAAGTTATTCAAGCAGTAGTTAATGGAAACGATGGCTGTCTCTTTGTATACGGACACTCCAAGTTAGGTGAGTACAGATTTTTTCAGATAAATAATTAAATAATATACAATAGATTATTATTATAAGTTAGTACATAAAATGATATTATGGAGTTTCCAGACAGTTAAAGAACCTCGTAAAATTTATGGAGGGCTATCAGAAAATTATAATCGTAAAGTTGTAATGGAACTCATTCATAGATTGGCGTTTTATTAAGAACTACTGGCTTTTTACCAAGATTCTTCTTTGCCGAGTTGCATAAAAAAGTAAATTGACGATATGCAGAACAATAGCACTTGTTCGTAGCTCTCGAGACTTTTATTCTTTTTAAACAGAACGAAAAAATATCCTATATAACTACTGCTTTTAAAAATACTTTAGTGTTTTTATTTCTTCGAGGATCTTTTATTGATTTTCATAAGCAATTCTGCGCTTATAAAAATTACAAAATCCGTTGGAATGATTGAACTATTGCATTAAATTTGACAGCTATCAGCCTCTCACCTTTATTTGCTGTATATTTTAAATAGTTATCGCATTCCGAGTTAAATCGAACCACAGACTGGCAAAAGTCGAAGAATTTTTAAAATTAAATATAATCGCATGTGTTTTAATATAAGATTTTAAAAATGTTTATACATTTACGCTTATAAATTTATATAGGGTTATATAAAGTATTCTTTACAAAGTCGAGCAATACGAAACTACAAGAATCCGTATCAGATATCATTGTATTGTAGTATTATATGTCTGTCGTGCAATATTTTTTCATCGATAAACATATCTTTCATTTTCAAAGATACCTTTTTTCATTGAAAATTCCAATTCCCAAAATGCCAAGCAAAAACTCCTTTTTGGAATATTGCTGACTGTTGAAGCAAGTTGCTGCGATGGTAGTCATTCGTCACTTCTTCTCCCCGAGGATGCATCACGTGCTGAATTCAGATACAGATCACACCCACAGTAAAGAAAAGTTGAATTCAACCCGTCAGAGCAGATGTGAGAATAAGACGTGGCCTCCACATCTTTTCTCCCCCCTCCGACCTGTCATAATGCTAGCTAATGCCTTTCCTGAAAAATATTCGCCACTCCTAAATTGAGTTTTGATTCGATTTAAAAATGACCTTTATATAAAACTTCTGGCATATTTATCATGTTTATATAATTTAAATCAGTTTTATAAAATTTTCTCCCGATTCTTAAGACATTTTCGTGCCTTATGCATTAAACATTATTTAGACGAAACGTTTGTTTAAGCATATTTAACGAATTTAAAGTGAAATTTTCTAAGGAAAAAAATCGTTTAAATTAAGTAAAAATTAATCAGAAATAGTTGAAATGTCCTTCCTGTTATCGCATAGTAGCTAACGTTTTATTAAATAGAATAAGAAGCTGTCGCGAAAGCTGTTCGAATAGAAGGTCACGTCTCTGATTTAATCAATGAAAAAGCAATTTAAAACTACTTTACACAGTTTTAATTGCTGGCCGAACAAATTTATTTTAAATTATTTTTATAATAAACCATGAAAATCGAGTCTAGATTGACAGAACGTATTACTAAGGACGATAACCTTTTACCAATGGCCACGCTTTCTAAAGACATTAAAACTATATCAGAAAAATTATTTTTGGGTAGAATGAAGAGGAAACGCTCAGATTTCAATCAATTCTCTCCAACTTGACACATAATTGGCAGCAATGCCACATCCTTATAATCTCAATCGATGGTGATATGAGAATCAAACCAAAACACGGTGAAAAATTTTTCATACAATTTTCAAAATCCTACAGGATTACGAAGGAGAGAAAACGAAACTCTAATCGATACAATATTTGGATATATCCTAGTACCAAGAGAGGGAAAAAAACACTGTTCCTATTGGAATATATCATCTCATATCAATACTTTAACATTATCACTAAGCAAGAGATTTATGCTAATTTTTCTGCGAAACAGTTAATACAAAATAAAAATCGAAGAAGGTTAAGACATAGAAAAAGTGGATCGCACTTCCAAGATGTCAGTCGAAATTAAAAAATAAAAATAAAAAAAAGGATAGAAAGGCATCTCCGAACGAATAACTTATCTTCGTTTTTCTCATACATTCGGCAGGAGCAGTAAAAAAAATCAATTCTCTTGCAATAATACGAAAAAAAAATAAGTAGTAATGGGTTTAATGTAGCATTAAACATATTCGGTGTTTTTACTTTTGTAGAAAGGAGAAATTGATGGAGTTACAGGTACCACAAGGGCCATCCGAGATTAAACTTTTGCTTTTCTGTTGATGATAACTCTCATCTAGCTGTTTTACTTGTGAAATTATTTATTTTGAAATTTTTCGTTTACTCGGCCGGTTAGTTTGCCAAATAGGATAGAACACGGCGCCGAAAATACAGGAATAATTCAACAAATTTAACTTACGAAGCGTATATTAATTAAAAAGTAAATTTCGAAAATTTTCATTGACTTCATTTAGACCATTATTTGCAGAAGTTCTGACTAATGACGCAAAGTTACTGAAATTGCTTCCTTAAATGGGTGATTTTACTTCTACTAATTTAAAAAAAGGGGGGAAGAACAAGAAAGATTAAAGAACATCTTCCTATTAAAGAGTAACGCTCATATTCTCTGCTTATACTTTCATTTCATGTGCTGAAAGTTAAATTTGTAAGCACATTTTTGTATTTTGAAATTTTATTTGTAGAAAAATAAACTTTTACGAAATGAAAAACACCAGTAAATATAATTTACAACAT